TATAACTTTTTTGACCGCATTTACTTTGCGGCTGCTTTTTATAAATACAAGTTTATTATACAATTTTTTTTACTCTACAATAGGTTTTTATTCGATCAATAAAAATTTCAAACTATTCTTGCATTTAAGTCGCTTTTCAGGAATAGGAAATGTTGGATCTACTTGATCTTATTGCTTGGCTTTGGCTAAGCCTGGGTCGCTAGTATCTGATTTGACCAAAAAATGTCAACTTTACGGACATAGTCAGAGATAAATTAATATGTAGGATAAACCATTTGAATGCACGGCACTGGTAACAAGTTTAGTATTAGAGTGCTAGGACTCCTGCACTATGGAGTATTAGACTACTAGTACAATCCTTAATCTACATACATAATCTACACGAGACTAATGACCTAAGTTGTCGAAGCCGAAGACACCAATAAAAAAAAAGTAAATGCCAATACTCACTCCGTTTTAATACCTACTTTGTTCTAAGTTTATTACATTTTTAAGTTGACTTTGAAGCCCTAATACTAACACTACGTCTAGCCAGTTTTTTTAATATGACCTTTAGTCGTGAATTCTTTGAAAGTGTCTTTTCTTTGCCAGAAAATAGTAAAGACTTGAATTTGCAACTTAACTATGATCCTAATATGCTATTAAATATTAGTAGTGAAGCAATAACGGAAAAAGAAATCCTAGATGCTGGTAAAAAAATTAAAAAATAAATTCACCTCGGGTTCAGACAAAATACCTTCTTTTCTTTTAATATATTGCTTAATAGTATTAATATATCTGCTACAAACTCTTTTTAATTTAGTCATTAAAACTTCAGTCTTTCCAGATGTTTGGAAGTAGGTAAAATCTGTCCCATATATAAATCTCAAGATCGCGCTGCTATAAATAATTATAGGCCCATCCCATAGTTATTCTTAATAACGCTGAAAAACTTTTAGAAGTCACCTTGTGTAACCGTATCTATCTATCTGCTAAAAATCTTATATCCGTATATCAACATAGATTCATGACTTCTCGTTCAACTGTTAGTAATCTGACAGTTTTTAGTTATCTCTGTGAATCATTAGATAGTATAGGACAGGTTGATGCAGTATATACCGATCTCTCTAAGGCCTTTGATAAAATGAGTCACAAAATAATTCTGCAAAAGTTTTCTAGTTTAGGTATTGATATTACTTATGTACATCTTCTTAAATCACATTTAACTAAACGCAAATAATATGTTTGTTATAATGGATTTAATTCTAATTACTTTACGTCAACTAGTGGAGTTCCTCAAGGGTCCAATTTAGGGCCACTATTGTTCTTAATATTCATTAACGATTTGTGTGACTCGCTTGAATGCAATAGGTTAATGTTTGCAGATGACTTAAAATTATATACCAGTATCTCTAGTACAGCTGATTGTTTAACATTGCAAAATAAAATTAACCTATTGCAGGAATGGTATCACAGAAATCGCCTCTTTTTAAATATTTCTAAATGTAAAATTGTGACTTATAGCCGCAAACATATTTCTTTGAATTTTCCTTATTCCATTAATAAAATTATTTTGGAAAGAACAGACACTATTAAAGATTTGGGTGTTCACTTTGATTATCAAGTTACTTTTAACTACCACATTAACTCTATTGTGAATTGAGCCTACCGTGCATATGGTTGTATAATCCGGAATTGTAAGATTTTCAATAGGCTCTCGGCATTAACTTCCCTATATTTTAGCTTAGAACAAAATTAGAATATTCATCAATAATATGGTATCCTATATACATTCTTTATTCATACATTATTGAGAAAAATCAAAAGAAATTCTTAAAATTCTCAAGTTTTAAATTAAATGGATTTTATCCTCCAAGAGGTTGTAACTACCTAGATTTACTACACCAATTTGAATTTGTATCATTAGAATCACGTAGAAATCAGGCATCTGTTTTGTTTTTGGATAAACTGTTAAATGGTGAAATAGATTGCTCTTTGTTGCTCTCTCAGATAAAAAAATGTGTACCTAGGATAACAATCTAGACATAATATTACATTTCTAAGTAAACGAACTCAAACTAATTTGTTGTCAAAAGCGCCAAGTATCTTGTGTAGTAATGCAAACAAACTATTATTAAACAAACTATGAATTAAAAAACAAATCAAGAGCTTATCTTTGAATTCATATTAATTTTTTACTATTTTACTTTTATTATAATTTTTTAACTTATCTTATGTATTTTCTTAGTTTAATTTTATAATTTTATAATAAATTTGCCTTGTAAATGAGAAATGTTTAAAATTGTGAGTTGGACTTTTGAAAAGCACCTTTAGACTTCCAAAAATATTATTAAAGGCTCCTCAGAGAAATATTTCTAATCAAATCTGTCAAAATAACACTTAATAAACTTAGAATAAAGTTGATATTATTAGGTTTTTGGTTGCTATTTTCATTTATATTTTTGGTGAATTTAAAAGTCCCTTTAGGTATTGTCAAAAAACTTATTCAGTCAATAATAAATTATAGCTGGTTACGTTCCAATTACCAATTAACAAACAGTCTATTTCCTATAACAAATAACCAGTGAAAATTAAAGCATTTTGTGAATTATTTTTTTGTCATTTATATTTAAAAATCTTCCAAAATTATGAACTTTAGGTGTAGGGGATGCTTAACTCAGATGAAACTGTAATTAAGTTACTTTTAAATGGTGATATTAAATACAGGGTGGTCAATTTAAAAAAAAAAATGAGAAAGTGATGTATTTGAGATTTGATTCACCCTGTACAGATTTGAATTGAAAAAATAGTGCATCGGCATAAAATGTTGACTAATATCGAAAATCTTCTACCATAAAAAATTGGTTTTCAATTGTTTTTTTTTTGCAGTATACAGGTCATTGAAATCAATACGATTTTCATATAAAACTGGTTAGAGCATGTGAAATACACTGTATAATCTTATATTATTTCGTATTGTTATAATAGGAAAAGCGTGAGCAATTAAAATATATAATAAAATACAGGGTGTCACTTTAAAAAAAAAACTAACTTTGATACGTATTAGTTTGGTCGAGAACTCTATATAATTGAAATTATTTTTAAATTGTTTCCTTTTCTGATATGCATCTCGCTGTGAACACATATTTAATATAAATCACATATTTTTGGGTCTACAGACCGAGGCGTTACCGGTGGCCCACCCAGGTTTGACAGGTAGATTTTTTGTTTTTAAAAAAAAAACTAAAAATTTAAATTCTGCAATTTTAGGTTTTTTAGGTTGTTTAGGTTTTTTAAGATAAATATTAAGAAGTTACAATTTAATTATTCAACAAATATATTTATTTATTTTTTCACTTTTTATTTTTTTTTTTTTTTTGTTTGCAATATGGGATTTTTTTAATATAATAAACCTCTATTTTTCCAAGTTTTGCTTGTATATTTTGTTTATTTTTAAAACCCAATAAAACCTAAAAAACCTAATTATATATTTTTAATTCTTAAAATTTTTTCAAACCCTGACTACCCCCTGGGTCATTGTCTAGTTTGAGCTCTTTTCACTTATGAAAAAATTATTAAGTATACGCACTTGTAGGTATCACTATTGTAAACAAAAAATCTCAGTTCCATATTTTATGAAAAATAATTAACTTTTTTAAATAAAAATATTTCACAAATTGTCCAAATCAAAGCTCAGAGATGCTACTTTTACGTCTTACACTTTAGCCAATTCACACAAAAAGTTAACAATTCAATTATTCAGAATCAAAAGTACAGCAATTCATTTTTAATAATTTTCCTTGTCCTAACAATAAACTATTGACATCTTTTAACCTACCCAGCACCCCTATTCACTCCCTTTCACGTAAAATTGATATAATTAATGGAAAAAATGTCTAAATTTGTTTTTAAAATAATTATTATTCATTTACAAAAGATATGGAATAGGTTTGTTTGTTTACAATAGCAATACCTACAAGTACCTATGCTTAGTTTTTCCGTAATCAAACAAATCAACTATCACATTATAAGTACCAACTTACCTTATCTGCTCTTTTAACAAATTTTTCTTTACTGCTAACACTTGTGAACTTTAAAAACCTAATCAATGTTTTTAAAAACATAAAATTTTTATTATTAGTAAAAAATACCTATTTAAAATAACTCAACTGTATAGTCTATAAACTTTGCATAGTTCTATTTCGAGCAACAATTTGAGAAATAATTAAAATTGATAAATTACCTAAAATGATCTGTTTATATAGAAAAATTTTATCATTTTTTTTTAATAGAAACTAAAATTCTATATTAGCAAAGTCAAAAAATTTAAGTTTGAAAAATAAAGTAGTAGTCGATGAAAAGGTTGCTTCCAGTTAAAACAACAGTTGAAGATTAAAAATTATTTAAAAACATTCAAAATGAACGGATTAATGTTGCATTCAATTCATGATATTTCCAAATTATCTAACCACATTTTTTAATTTAACTAAAAATTATAATTTTTTATATAAGTATTAAATACCTAGTAACCACTTTTTTTAGTGTATTTTTTACTTCAAAAAAATAACCAAAGTATTGTTTGGACTAATTTAAATTCCACTTAGAGAATGAACTAGGTTGGTGACAAAATTAAAACCAAAAATAATAATATACTTATATAACTAAGTAAATTTATTTACATAATAACGTAACATTATATATTATCCATAACACAACCGTTTCATTTATAAAAATAGATTATAAAAATGAAAAAACGACTAATTAAAAAAGATATGCAATTCACTTGGAGTGATTCAGTAACAAACAAAATCTAAAAAATCTCTATCGAGAACAGTCTTTCAGAGTTTAACCGCTCCAATTTTTTGAAAAACAACCAAAAACTAGAAAATTTCAGTTTTCTGTTCACTTTTAGGCATTTATAATTATTTATTTACAAAAAGTTATAGTAAAAAATTAATACATTTAATTTATTTTTATAAATTTATTCGATATTGGAAATTAAAATTTTATTTACCATTTTAAAAAAATCTACGTTTTTTTGAATTTTATTCAAATCAAAATAAAATATTTAATATTTGATTTTTTGAAAGATTTGTTTTGAAAAATAACTAGATTAACTCAGAAATTTCGAATACCTTGTGATACAAAATTAAAATTTGTTCGACTTTGGTTCCTTTTCTAAACATTGAAGCACACTTACTCCCAACCCGATTAAAAACAAATTGTGCAAATAACTTTTCGATTTTAGTCTCAATTTGTACAAATTCACGGTATATGTCCGAAAATGGCATTTCTAGTATACCGTGGGGTCGAAAATCACTGAACTCTTCGACCCGGAAAATGATGTCATAGGTAAAACTCAGGTGAACTCTGTCCATCAGAATTTAAACTACCATTAATAGGAGGTCGTCCTAACTGCAATTTTTGTTTATAAACGTCCCTTTCTTGTGACACCCTTGATAATTCAGATTTTAGTCGATGAATTTCGTGCTGGAGGCTTCTGTTTTGCAGTTCAAGGTCTTGTCTCTGCTGCAGCCTTTTTGATCTGCAATTTTGTGCGTAGCCTCGATTTTTGAGCGTTCTTCGTTTCTGTTTCAACCTCACTATCTCTTCTCTAGGACACCCATGCAACCTTTTGTTAAGTTCTCTTACTGATAAAGTCATCAACATCTCGTCATTAAGGTTTATATCTTCGGAACAGGTAGAATAGCCACTATTGTGATTGTTCATTCTAGGGGAAAGGGCACTAGCACCGGAACACACAGACATTGGTCGTTGATGATGGTGTATACTGTGGTGGTGACCTGGGGCGTCTAAAATAATTCCAGAAGGGATGTACTCTCTTCTTTCCCAGTCGGGTTCTCCTCCTAAACAGTGAGGATGAGGACGTAGGTCCAAGGGTTGAGGATCAGCACGAATACTGGGAGGAAACCACATCATTTCATCCATTATTCCTTGCGGTCTACACGGTAGAGGTGAATGAGTCGGAGGCGTATCTGGAGGAGTACCAGGATCGTTCATTAAAGTCATATTAACTAACACAGGTTGTTGAACGTAAATAGAGTCAGGAGGAGGCGATGGTAGTCTTCTATCTTCCCACTGAGTTCTACAAAATCTACTTGAAGAATCATCTTGTATCCAAGAAGGATCGTTTTCAATAAGTTGGCGCTTGTCCTCGCGTTTCACTGTAATGTCCTCTAAGTGATCCAGAACAAATTCCTGGACGTATTCTTCAGCTAAGTGTTGATTGTCCTCCATCACGCACTATCAGTGAATAACTCATGAACACTATACCCGACGGCACTGACTCGTGGTATGTGATTTCACGACGGCGGTTGAAGCGAGTTTGGGAACCGGAGCTCGACTCTGGAAAGTTTGTCAAGAAGGGGCGGTGACTGACTAACTGGCAAGCGCCGCCTCACTTAAACAGGATAGGTGCTAGCGATTTTGCTACGGAAATTTGTTTATACCTCAATAGCCAGTCAACACCAAGAATATTCGTACCATATTGTTGTAAAATTGAGCTTTATTGCGGACATGTTCTGTCTAGGGAGAGAGTATGAGCTTCGGCTTTTTGTTAAGATCGTATTTTATCGTTTAGTTTGGATTATTGGCTCGAAGTTGTCCTCTAAAATATATTACGTACTTTACTTTAAGTTATAGCTGTGGTTATATGAATTTTTCCGACACTATAAAAAATAAAAAATTTAATATACCACTGACTGACATATTATTCTTAAAATAAGGGTTTTGAAATCATTTAGAAAGTAAAATAAATTTATATCAAACAGTTTTAACTAATAACTTCATTACTTGAGATCCGAACTATTTTTAAAAAGGTTCCTTATTTTTATTTTGCTTTTTTATACAAAATTACTCTTTTAACATTTTCAGTTGCCTAAATAAAACTCTTATAAAAAAATATTCTTTTAATTGGCATTTGTTGGCTAAAAAATAAAAATTAAGGGTGATTAAATTAATAATGACACAAATGAAAATATATCACAAATTATCTCAAATCAAAGCTCAGAGATGCTACTTTTACGTCTTACACAGTTGCCAAGTCACACAAAAAGTTCACCTTTCGATTACTTAGTATCAAAAGTACAGAAATTTGTTTCTAATAATTTTCCTTGCCCTGACAATATTTAATAATATTATAACTATTGACGTTGTTGTACCTACCCAACACTAATTGATAAAATTAATGGAAAAATGGCATATTTTTATTTAAAAAACTTGGGATTTTGTACTTTCAAGTACCTATGCTTAAATACGGAGAAAAATTTTATTTATAGAAATTAAAAATTGTGCGCAACTTTGAACAATTGGCATTCTGTTAACAAAAACAAAACTTTTCTAAAAAATGTTTAAAATTAAAAATAATGTTTATATTTTTTAATTTTTTATACAAAATATTTATTTAAACATATTTTTCAATGCTTATTCAATAAATTAGTTTTGAAGGACATTTGTTAAAGGTGCTACACATTTTTTGTATGTCACTTATTTTATTATTAGGAATTTCAGATAGATATAACGTTATTTATTGAAAAAAAATATCTAATAGTAATATTATTTAACTAAAAATTATTTATGCACTATATAAAACCTTCGATATTTATTTTTATTTATTTATATAATTTCTTTTACTTTTTTAAAGACATGACATTGTAAATGTAAATGAAATTGTAAATGATTCGTTAAATTGTTATTTACGAGAACTTTTCTTATTATACTCTTTTTATAAACTTTTCTTTTTGTGTCATTAGTGATTACTAGCAGTCGAAACTAAATAAAAATATTTCTGTTTCTAAATATACCGGGTGTTCATACAAAAATTTTAAATTGAATGATTTCAGTTGTTTTTTAACTGTAGAAATTTAAATGTTCAGGATATACCTAGGAGGAAAATTAACAGTAACAGCCAAAATTTTAAATATAAATTTTGAAAGAAATTAGATTTTTGGTAGGTATTTCTATGCGAAAAAACTATTTGATTACTTAATGAAGTTTTAAATATGTTTACGATTTCATTTTTAAAAGTCTGATATTATTAACTCCGGAAAACATAAATATCACAAGCAATATTTGATAATTCAAACTTAAAACGATCTATTATTTTTTGAAAAATTATGATCATTCAAAATCTGCAAATATATACAGGGTGGCTTGAGGTGGCTTGAGAAACGAGTGAACAAGTGCGAAAATTTGAATGAACTATAATAACTCATCTGCTTTCAATACTTCAAAGATTCAAAAAAGGAAATGTAAACAAAATTGTATGGATTAATTTTCAGTTTTAAACTGACATATACATCAAGGGATTTAGGTTTATGACCAATATTTTATTCCAGGTAAATGTACTACTCGTAATCAATTACAGACTCATTTAAAATATACAATATTTTTTATGCACGATCGGGCGATAAAGTCCAAATTATAAATACGTTTAGCGGGCGTAAAGTGCCCCTTTTTCGCCCGCGGACTACTTTACCGCCCGCTAGACGGTGAAGTAAATTTCTTTTATAATAAACTGCTCTAAAAAGGCGATAAAGAAAATAATAGTTATTTATTAATAAACGATCATTAAAACTGTCGTACATAAAATTTTATACAGGGTGTCCCATTAGTGCGTAATTGTTTAATATTTCGTTTAGTGTTATAGACACGCAAAAAAGTTTCAATTAAAAGTTATATGGATTTGAAAAATACATGTTTTAAAAATATTTTTGGATCACCCTGGTGTTGCGTTTTTGCCTGGCAAATAAAACCGTATGTGTTTTAAATATAACACCGTGTATTTTATTTCATTTTTAGAATGGTTTAGTAATACTGTATTCAATCCTAATTTTTTTTTAAATATTATTTCAGTATTGCCAACAAATTATTTTTTTTTTTTAAATAGAGAATGATGCTGACCCCAAATTAAATTATCATAATTTAGGTAGGTTTACATTAATTTTAAAATTGTTTAATACACAGACTTACAAGATAGTGAGCTAACGAATAGTGGTGATAGAACTAGTTTATTTTATACAAAGTGTTTACAAAAATGTCTTAAATATGGTTAATTTTAAATTTAATTTACTGAATTTTTTCAATTACAACACCCTCTATATTATTTTAGTATAAAATGCCTTATAAATTTGCCTATATTACGATAACAATATGTTAGCTAATAACACATATACAGGGTATCCCATCAGTCAGTAATTATCAATTTATTCTAAAAATAAAATAAAATACAGGGTGTTCTATTTAAATATCATAAATTATTATTTGCCAGGCAAAAACGCCAAACCCTGTATATCCAAAAATAATTTTAAAATATGTATCTTTCAAATCCATATAACTTTTATTTAAAACTTTTTTACGTGTCTATAACACAAATTCAAATATATTTGTTAATATATGATCATTAAAAGGGTCGTGCACAAAATTTTGTATGTATTTAGGTCGTAAACAGAGTTTATGGGCCTTAATAGCCCTCACCTAGCGGCTCAGGCTTTTTTTTGAAGGATTTTTGTATGTGGTCGTATGAAAAATAGTGTATATAACTCGTTGGAATGTCTATTTCTCGTACTCGCTTAGTTTCGGCACTCGCCGCACCCTTGCGAAATGTTACACTTTCCACACTTGTTATATGAAAACTTTTACAAAGTACGAAAATTTTGTAAATATTTGTTAGCTGTTTGAAAAATAATATATTGTGATGTTTGTTTATTTTAAACAACAGTTTATTAATTAATAATTTATTTAAACACTTATTTATTTGTAACAATATTATTCTAATTTATATATATTTCGAATGTCTCTAAACTGTTCACGATTTATCTTCACTGTCCATATAATAACTAACTCTCGCTTGGTTCTCCACCAATATTTATATACAAATTTAAAAGTTTGGCGAATGAGCTAGAAAGTTCACCAAATACTCTAGGGGAACATTATCCCGTCTTTTCTAGAACATTAATCGAAAACTCTTCCGCCATAGTCGTCCATAGGTTTGGTCTTAGGGGTTTAATTATGTATGATAATCGGACAAGTTGAGCCTCAAAGGCCAAATAAGATAGAGAAAGACTTGGAGGATTAGAGCATGACTGAATAATGAAACGGCTCACATAACAATATATTAAAAAAGTAAATAAAAGTTTATGAAAAATAAGCTTTAAAAATTAAAAATATTGAAAAAAAATAAATAGACAAAAACTAGCAAATAAAAAAGTGAACAAAAATGTATATACTTAATAATTATGTAGAAATTTAGGTGTTTTCTGTTTAAATTTCTGATCTGCCCAACATATAACTTGCCTGTAAATAAGTTATTAATAAAAGAATTTTCTTCTTTAATTATAAATAACAGAAATATACCTTAAAATACATCCAAGATGTTCCGACTATGCCCATCACAACAGGATAGATATTAGCTTACCTTAAAAATTTGCTGTTTTTCTTTTATCCGTTTTTGTAGATACACTGATAGACAAACAGACATCTGTGCAAAAATGACTAAAAAGGATTTAAAGGACCCTAAAACGTTAAAATATGTCAAAAAAATGAGGTCAAAAAAATGAGGTCAAAAAAAATCATGATTCCTATATTTTCTTACTGATGACAAAAAAAAAATGCATTAACACTCGTTTTTTGTAAAAACATTAAAACATTTACTAAAATACTGTTAGTAGGTAGGTAATGAAATAATATTTTTTGGCGAAAAACAAAACACGTATTTTGTTTTTGTATAATATACTAATCAATTAATTGATGTATAACTTTTATGTCTCTGTCAGAAGATCCATTTAAAATAAAATAAATTACACAAAATGGTGTAAGTTCGTACATCTATTTAAAACAAAAAAGTGTCTAACTTGTAAACTTCTCTGTATTGTTGGAGACTCGTATATCTCTTTAACCATTTTCCTGTACTTCCATCTGCAAAATTTTAGTATTACCAAACTCTCTTCCTTGGGTTTCATTTCAAATGTTTGACACTCTGATAAAATTAAACATTTTTTATTTTGTAGTCACCGCCATATCTCAAATATGACTAATTTGCACCTTTGAGGTATGCATATTATTTATTTGAACTCAAATAACCTACAATTCCCTTGTGTATAACAAAATAAACCATTGTGGCAATAAACATATCACAGACATTACCATCAAATTAACAAGATGAGCTTGAAAATAATAAATAAAGTGACTTGTTTACACATTTGCTGCGAAATGTCGGAGCCGTTGAAGTTAATAAATTTCAAAAACCATAAATAATAGGTTAAAATCAAACGCTTTCAACCCTTCAGCTAGGTCATACAAACTTAACGCACTAACACTTAATTACAGCTACCAAATTATATATCAAACACATACTGTTTAACGCCTGTTAATTAAATTTAGAAGTTTACAATAAATATAGAAAAATTCATCTCTCAAATAACCTTAGATTAACCTATGAACTTCATGAACTGTTTAGAAGACATAATATAAATCAAAATATTCAATTAAATGTAATTTTAATATCACTAATGAACTTATGTGCCGTTCAATATGTTTGTTAATCAAGGGCGCATATACGGGGAGGTAATAGGGGTAATTACTCTACCCCCAATTTTCTTTAACTAAACTTTATAGAGGTACTAAAATAAAGTCTTATAAATGTCCACTACCCCCCCAGATTTAAACTATATTACCAATACCCCCCAGATTTAAACGATATTACCACTACCCCAG